AATTTGCGAGGATCGTTTCCAGGAAGTTCGTTGCCGGTCCCGCGAGGAAGGGTGGGGCCAATTTTCCGGAGTTGCGCGGTGCCGTAAAATTTATGCCGCCATTTTGCGTGCTTTATACGGCCATCTGTGCCCGCGCGTGTACACGCCACCCTGCGAGGCTGTATTCGTTTATGGGCCGGTGTTCCGGGGGGAATTTGTATGTCCACGCGCGGGCATGCATATATGCATGCCGGGGCACGGTGTGCATCTCTTGCACCTGCAAACACCCCCGAACGGAGTTCGGGCACGACATTTTTACCCAACACCGATCCCCGGTCGACTCGTGACCCACTGAAGTACTTATCTCGAATAATTCCACTTCTCGACCTAACCTCCAAACTTAATTCCCTTTCCACCTGGCTTAGTTTTAGCTTCTTTTACATTTTATCTCCTGACATAAACTCCAGGTTTCCTTCTCGTTTTATCAGTTTTACCACCTTTCGCCGGGGGATGGGTTAACGCTGCATTTACGGGGCGTGCGTAAATTCCACACGCGTTGCAGCGCCCCCACACGCACCGATGTAGCCGCCCCGTGTTTGCGCACGTGCGCTGGTCTGTGCAGAGCCGAATGTGCAGAGCCCCGTTCAGTTTGTACCTACACGATGGGGTAACATGCCGGGTCGCGGGCATTGTGCACTCGCTGCATCGCGCCGTTGTTGCTGCACGTTCCACGTGCTATGCATATCCGGGCTCGCCGTTTCGCATTGACCCATTTCAAAGCGGAGCGCGTTCATCGCGCGAATTTCGCGACGCACCCTCCCACCCTGACCCTCGTCCTAGGATCATCCGATGTTCGCCGCCGATGTATGCGTCTTTTGCATCGATTGTCCCCTCACGGCGTTGAGCTCCTTCCTCCAAAGACAGGAAATATGAATTCAGAAAACGTAGGTATTCCGTCCGAGGGGCTATTCCCTTGGAAATCGGTGAAAAGGATTTTCTTCCTCGAGAGTCGATTGATTTGATATGATAAACAATAATGCGATTCGATAAAGAGCAACGTTCGGCCTTAAAATTGTGACCGTACAATGACTCTTGTCCACGTGCAACTAACTTGAGAGAATTCTTCCTAGAGCAGCTTGAACTTCCGGGTACACTCTCAATAAATTTGCGCAAGTTCACTTCCAAGACCGTGTACACTGTCCCAAGTTTCACTTGCACGTAGACACGAGCCATTAGGTAATTTCTAATGATCTCGAGTGATTTCCGCATGATTTCCAGCGTTTAAATCCATGATTTCCTGATTGAATACCCCCTCGATTCCAACTTAGGGGAAATATGAAATAAAAATTGATACTTTGGGAATTTATTTTCCATCTTTTACGGTGTTTTTTTTTTCGATCTTCCAAAGGGATGACGAGACCTCTTCGGGATGTCACCTGGTGCACTTGGGGCGACCGTCCCCCGTCGATATCGCTTCGTTCCGACCGCCCGATCCGCCCTCGTTGCCAGCCAATCCGGCGACAAATAACGTCGTACGTTGGCCTCGAACCCGTCGAATTGCCGCTCGAAACCAATTTCAGATTGTACAAGGACTTATGGAAGCTTCCGTATACATAGTGCACAAATAGCTTGAATTACAGTCGCTTCGAAAGCGGTCGATGCGGCGCGCGCTATCTCGTTCCCGCGGCCTATCGAGAGTGAACTAATTTCGGACGAAAGGGACGAATTTATAGCCGACTAATTGGTTCCCCGGGACGTCACGTGTACCTGTCGAATCCGATGCGAATGGCTCGTGATTATTTATTCCCATTTTCTTCTTTTTAATGGTATTTCTTATTCGCTTGGCAGAAAATTACATTCGCGGTCTCGCCTTTCCTGGACCATCGGGAGCCATTGGGAGCCTTTTCGAACAATGGCCCGGATAAAACAATTTCGGGGGGAAATTTATTCGGATCTTTGGCACTTTTCCACCGCAATGGCGGACGAAACGACGGCCGTAACGAAGTCTTCATCGAGCATGCACCGCGGCTCTCCACGTGGAAAACGGATTGTGGTAACGACTTTCCGCTTTCCTCGTTAACTGCGTCTCTCTTTCTGCTTCCACGGGATCGAGTGGACTGGTTGTAACGATAATTTCGAATAATTCCCGGAGTGTAGCGGAAACGCCGAACTCGCGAGCAAGAAAACGACATTTTGGGGGCGAAAACGCGACGGCATCGATTTTTCATATTTTTTCCATTATCCTCGTAATCCCGCAATAAACCACTCACGCAAAATCCGTTGTCACGAGATCGATCGACCGTTTTTTCGCGCGCTCGCAGATGGCGCCACAGAGGATTTTCTCGCAAGCGGTCCGTTGTCCGTCAACAATCAGATTCGGCGATAACGCCGGATAATTAGATCCCGCCGCCGATTCCGTTCACCAATCACGGCATTATCGGCGGCCCGGTAATCACCGGTGAAAATTACCTATTCTCTAGGAATATCTCCATCACGCCGCCCTTATCGGTCGCCCTTTACAGCCGCGTCGGTTATCTTGCCCTCCCTCTTAATCATATACACCGTGGATCTAGACATCTATCTATCTCCATTCCACCGTGCCGTAATTCGCCTTTCATCTTCCACTTTTCCTTCTTTTCCCGGTCGCTCCGCTTCCTTGCCGGTTCACATGATTTTATTTCCCCTGCTTTTTATTTCGATTTCCTCCCCTCTCATTTTATCTCCCTCTCGCTTTAATTTCCCTCCTCTCCGCTCGTGCGCACGCGTCCTCTCCTAGATGTAGGACGATAGGTCAAGGTAGTCGCAAGCGCGACCGACGAAAAGCACGGCGCGCAGCTTTACCCTATATACACGCGGGACTAACCTAACCTTACCTAACCTAACCTAACCCGCGGAATGTAGGTCGGTGCGTGCGTAGCGTTCGCCAAACCAATCGGGACGCTTTCCTTCCGCGCGCGGCTCGAGGCGAGACGCCATCGACGGCCGCTTCCGGTCCGCCATTTTGGAGAACGTCCCGCGAAGATAGGACGCGACTTTAATGACCGAAGAGATACGGCCCGTAAAGTATGACTGCTTGCGCGGGGACGCATCAAACGGAAACGACTGCTGCTCGATAAGAGACACCGCGACCGCACGTTCCGTTTCGATTTTTAATAAACAAGAAAAGAAACACTTTCAAAGGGAGAGCTCGCACGGAACGCGAAAGACCTCGGGGCCCCGACAGAGAGCCCGAGTGTTTTGCGTCCTGGTAATTCGAGGTCCATTTCAGGAATATTAAATTAACGTTAAACCGCGTCCTTTGAAACGGTGCACTTTGCGCGGTCCGTCGTGTAACGGAATCGTATTAATTTTTTTCATGCCTCGCCGAAGCGTCCCGCGCTGGTTACGTCAAAGGACGAGGGGTCCTTCGAGGACCCCGTTGGGGCCAAAGTTTTCCCGGAAAGCACCATTAATTTAACAATATGGCTGCCCGCTTCCTTTCCCTGGCTTCCACTCGCCGAACCAATTCTGAACCCCCGGGGTAGCTCGAAGCCCGATGGCGCGCAACATCCGAGAAACTTTCGGGACGGGTTTCGAAGTGGTTTTAACGATCCCCGCAACATTGCTCCCGGCCTCTGGCCTCTTTACATGCGCGGCAACAACGATAAATGTAACGACTCTGCTGCGTCAATGGCGAACCCCCTAGGCCGGATTCGGCCTTTCGATATTTCCCTAACACCGGTCCGCCATTCAATCACTCGTCCTCGGATTTCGCCCATGGAGGCCCGGTATCGAGTGGCGGCTGTTAATAAATTTCCCGACTATCGATCGACCTGCTCGAAATTTACCGGCAACACTTCCGAGCTAGGACATTGCGCTCCCTACCTCCGTTCCCTTTACGAGGCAAAAAAGTATTAATAATTGCACTTCCTCGTGGCCGGTCCGGGGAAATAAAAAAAAGGGGGAATTCTTACGAACGATCGATCCGTCTCGACAAATATTATTCGTTCACGGCCCGCGTGAATCTGAGCTCGAGAGCAAATATTTGCAGATCGCGATCAGCTGACGGCTACTGCAAACACCGGGAAGGCGTGGGTGGACCGGGCGATGCAAAGTCGATCCGTCATTTTTATGCGGAGGAAATATATCAAAATGGGAAATGTATTCACTTCCCCACGTGTCTTAGGAATAAGCTGCGCTCCCCCCTCTTGTCGCGAATCCAGAATTCCGTTTTTAGATTGCGCACCGCGGTACGACTGTCTCTACACCGAAATCCCAGGGTTTTATTATACCACTTTCCTCTCGGACGATGCCAAAAATGTGGGCGAAGCGCGCGGGAAGAATTTTTAATAAACGGTTTTCAGGGCGCGAAGTTTATCCACGTCGGAAATTTCCGTAAGCGGCCGGGAATTCCGCGCATACGTCGCCGCACTTGTACGCGTTGCCGGTAATTTTTCGGCGGGTAACGAATTACCATCCGTGATGTTTCATGTTTCGCTTCTTTTTTTTCCGTTGCATCCTGAGCCGAAATTTTTACTTATGCATTTAATTTCTTATTATCTTTCGTCGTTTATCGTTAGGTGGTGAGATTCGGTACAGTAGATCCCAGAAGGGCGGACCAACGCGTGTCGCCATCTCCCGGCAAATGGAGGGATCAGAGCGATTCGATCGGCCTTAATTGCTTCCTCCGACGCGACGGATTAATTTCTGTGCCATTTCGTGCGATCGGAAGGCGGAAGTAGCGATGCGATCGTATCGAGCCGCCATTGGGGACGGGTGCAGGCTTAAGCCACGACCAATTCGAGAATCGAGGGTGACGCGTTAAGGCGATCGGCCATTAACGAGCAAAACCTGCAAGAAGGGACTCTAGGGGGCGATCAATCTTCGCCAATCCTCGAGGCCGCAAATCTCGAGAGGCACCGCAAGAAATGGCCACTTCGCCGTTTCTTCGGACCTACCGCCTTGAGACCATTGAAAAATATTCTCCACCGCCGGAGAGGAAAACTTGTAAAGATTTTTTATTTCTTCTCTCTTTGTTCCAGGGAGTAGCGAGGAGTCCAGAACGGGTGGAGGGGATCCTGGAAAGCTCGGCGTGAAGAAACCGAGACCGAAAGCTTCCTCGCCCAACAGGCAAGGACCTCAACAGTGCCAGGTGAGCGGGGTTCTGGATAAATTCTTAATGCACATTTTGAAAATGGTGAATCTCTTATTCGGAGTCATCAGAAGTCGTTATCTGGGAATGAAAGATGCATTGAACAAAAAAAATATATCTTTGAATGGTACCAACGAAATATTTTGTTAACTCAATAAATAATCATTTGACTCGAGTAGATTCGAAGAAATTGTGATAATTCCGAAGAAACGCAGCGTCCTGTTTATTCGAGTTTATTTGAATAAAATAATTATTCTTTGAATTAACGAAATATTTCTTTGGTACCATTCAAAGAAATATTTCTTTCGTTGGGTGAACATTTTTTATTCTCGGTGTACATCGAGGAGTAGAACTGGTCGCGCCATTTGCAAATGATTTGTCCGTTCGGTTGGAGGAACGAGTCGAGCGTGCGGAGCAATTCAGGGCGTCGATTAGCTGATATCTGTCATCTTGCAATTATCGGGACCGATCGTCGAAACGTAGGTCCAAACGACCGGAGGTAATTGTCAAAATCCGAGAGGAGGGCTATTTGCAGACTCGAATTGATTCGCCACTCGCGAATGGCCGATTCCCCGAAAGTCAGCGAGGCGCACCGTGCAATTTCGAGGATCGATCGAGTGATATATGACATCTTGTAATTGTCGGGGCCGGGGATGGAAACGTCCCCCGAAAGTCCGGGACACGATTCCCAAAATCCTGGAGGTGGTCCAACTTCCGGGTATTAATTTTTTTCCCACCGCCAAAAAGTCAGTCGTTCTCTCGAAGAGCCACATCTCGAATGGAAAACGAAGGCGCATCATCGAGGAAAAGACTGAGGGAAAAAGAAAGATATTTTATTATGGAAAATCCAGGAAATCACGGGACCCAGAAATCCCAAATCCCGAAATTTCGAGCTACCAGGGGGTGCGGTAAACCACCCCGACGTGTTAACGAGCGCGACCCAGTTTCGGACGGCGCCGACGCATTTATTTCCGAAAACGCTCAAAAACTCACCCCCGAGTGTTCGGGCAATCGTGATAACTCCCCAGCTTTATTGACCAGGTATCCAGGGGGCGAGGTGATTAATGGCCGCTCCAGGGGCGGTCTTTGCTAAGAGGCGAGCCACCCTTGAAAGGGTTCATTCGGCGTGCGGGCCGCGATAACCCCTTTTCCCAGACGATGGCCGATAAGGTGGTTCCGATTATGGTGCAAAATCGAAAACAGGGGGTGCGGGTAAGAAGTAACCACCCCCTCCCGAAACCGCCGCAATCAGTGCCGATTGTAATTCGTGCGTGCATCCAGGGTGCAAATCGGGCCACTTGCCCTACTTTAAGTTGCGTCCCGGGGAGGAATGGCTGCAGAAGGGGTGGCTCGTCGTCGGCAAGGGGTAGGTGAAAATCACGGGCACATACGTGTAAATGCGGAAAGGCTGTTGAATATTCAACCGGGACACCCTCGAGTCGGCTCGAGAACACGGCCGGTGACTAGCAACCCCTCGATCGGTAACATCGCACCCTGGACGAAACGCAATTACCCCCGGTCCGCAAATGATCCATTGAATATTCTAGCCGGGGTAAATTATTAATCTCTTTTCGAGTCGAGCCCTTGAGCCGGTTCTAAATATCGGCGTCGATTTTCCTTGAATCTCTGAAGATTTGGACTCAGGGGGTTGAAACGTCGACCGATAAAGCGGGAGTGATCGAGATGCAGGTCGGCAAAGCGCGAGCGCATACGTGTAAACGCGGAAAAGCTGTTGAATATTCAACCCCCACCCTCGTCGTTGCACCCTCGTCGCAACTGCCGGTCGCGATGGCGGCTAGGGGTAGATACCGACGGTCGGTAACGTTTAGCAGCCCCTAACCCGGCACCCTCTCTGATCGCGACTCCACCCTCCTCTACCGACGTCGGGAAGAACCACCCTCGGTCTTGTTACGTAATTAAATGATGGCTCGCCCGACTTGTTGACAAGCCTCGTCGACGTATCCGGTTACCGACCGGATCCAGCATCCCCTGGTCCACGGAACCGGAGACAGGGTTGCGGGGGGTCTCGCGTTCGGTGATCTCGAGACTAACGCGATTTACATGAAAGAGATCGCAACTGGAGGGAATGTCGCGTTCTGGGGCGGGTTTCTCGACAGTTTTCATAAATCTGTTCCCGAAAAATGGGAGACGCGAATGTGGCTCGTTATCACGGGGCCCAAGTTATCGAACCCCTCTATCGCTCCAGAATGGAGGGGGTTAGTACTTAGGGGGTTTAATTTTTTATCCGAGAGGGGGGATCGTCTAGAGGAAACCGTTCCAGGAGTAGGAATCATAATATCTGGATATTACGCCGTTTATACGGACTACCCCTAAGGTCCTTTTACTACCCTGTTATCAGGACCCTTTTGTCTCGCCTAGTTTCGCGTTGAACAAATTTCTCTCCGAGGAAATCCCGTTGCTATCGCCATATCAGGGGCTTTTGTCTCCCCCGTGGCATCTAGAGGGTGGGTCAGGGTAAGCCTCCCTCCCCGAAGAATCCCGATGTTTCGACTTCTCGCATCTCGCTTCTCGATCTTGACTGTGGGTTGCGATCAAAGGGATGCACGGCGGGTCGTTAAGTTAATTAATTGATTTAACGAGAGGGATGGCAGTCGGTCTCCCCTTGCATTGGCAACCCCTTTCAGGAGCCGGCGCCAAAGATGTCGGTAAACAAACACCGAGGGGAGGTCTTTTGCAACGGATCCCAACGGATCCAATTTCTAACGTCCCAAGGATAACACCGAATGAAGACCGGTGTTATCTCCAACCCTTCGTCACCCTTCGACACCCCGCGGCGTCGCTAGGGCTAAATCCTCCACGTTCCGTAAATATTTTCAAATAATCGCGATCACAGAAAAGAAACATAATTCTCGGGAAGATCAGAGCACATCCTGTATTCGGAACAAAAAAAAAAGTAAAAGGACCACCTGGGAGCGATAATCGAGTCAAGGGTCGGTTCCAGGTATTTTACCGGCAGATTCCAGTAATCGAGTGACTCCCATAATCGGGTAATTTCATAATTTCATAGTTCCTTGGAGACTGCGGAAGGGTTCTAACGACGTTGGCCTAACTCCCTTTCGAGGGCGAGGGTTCGACAGGATTGCGATGACAGCCAAGGGATGACAGGTCGCAGACAGAGTTCGGGGGTGGGGTCCTCGCGCAAATTGAAACTCCTACGTCGGCATCCGTGCATCTGGAGCTCCTTAGGAGTTAAGCCACGCAAATTAGATTTTCTGCTTAGAAGCGGAAGTGGGACTCGGATCCACCCCCTAACACCCCGTATACTCTTCTTCTTCCCGCCTCGTCTCGACCCCTCCGCCCCCGTTTAGCTGCACCTCCTCCACCCCCCTCGTAATCCCCCTTGAATTCCCCTCTCGCCCTATCGAGGAACCGCCATCGGCGGATCTTCCTCCCTTGTACAAACCCGTACCATCGAAAGGTCTTAATTTCTTTTCCGATTAACCTACATCTTGCCCCGTTCACTCCCACCCCCAGATGTGCCTCTCGAGCCCCGGCGGGGGCGACCGCCCCTCGAGGACCACATTATTAATACTTCTCGCGGCACCATCGACGTCGACTTATCCGGGCTCAGTTTAAAGGGAAATCTATCGAAATCTCACCCTTTGACGCCCTATTTAATCCCCCTCGAAATCCCACGAGCCCGAATGGCCGAGAATAGATAAATCGAACGAGCGTCCCTATCGACCCGCGCCCCCGGCCCCTTAAATCCGCAAATCGAGTCCCCATTGGTCGATACCTCGCACAGCCTCGCGGGGGGTGGAAAACTCCCTCGGCGGGAAATCGCGGCGTCGCATTATCCGACTTGCGCCGCGGGGGATGGAAATTAATTTCGGTTTACGGCGATACGTCGATTAGGGGACACCGGGAGGACGGAGGACGGAGGACATCCAATAACGGGTAATAGCGGGCGCCTTTGCCCGTCGGGACGCCGATGCACCGATGCAACGATGCACCGAGCGCCGAACGCGGCGTCGATTCGCGGCCGAATCGTGAAAGGACCAGCGATTGCGCCCTCGTGGGCACAATCATCGCTATGTCGGTCATTGCGAATGCAGCTGCAGGTGCATGCAAGTGTCCGTGAATTGATATCTAACGATTCTATGAAGTGAAAGAAAAATATCAGTGTAATTCTTTTTCTAATTATAATTTTATATATAATGTGTTGAAAGAAAAAAGAAAAATTAATGGAAGTAATATGCATACCAGGTCATACCGGTTCTCGCCTAGGATAAGTTACCATGTAAATTCGGTCCTGCGGGATGAAATTTTCGGAACCCTCTTCCATTACGTCCCTAAAAGTTCGGAGTACTTATTTCCTCCTCTCTCGACTAATTTCCACAACGAGGTCGAAACTTCGCAAGCCGCAACTTCGGACTTTTCGAGATCGCACGTGTGGTTTGCACACATACGCGAGCGCAGTCCGACATTCGACAGGGCGGGGGGTAAGGTCACACGGTTCAGCCACTTACGGTAGTTAAACCTTGTACTCTGGAGTTGAACCTTGTACTAGGTATAGGTTCACCTCTATCTCTCTACTCGCAGTGCCTCGTATGTGCACCTATATGTGCGGTGGTGCCCCACCCCTCGTTGCAACCCCTGCACGTACAGGCTGATTCATGACCAGGGACCAACCAACCATCTCTCTCCTGATAAGGATAAAACATGTACTCGTCCCGAAAATCAGGACTAACCAGAAAATTAAAAAACCCGGAATGCCGTTCCGCGACCAAAACTGGAGCGGGGACGCGAAATTCCGCGGAATTTCGGGGCGCCTTCGAGGACGATTCCGGGTTCCGGAACTCGGCCCGGTTCCAGCCAACCCCCCGGAACAATATTCCCGCTCCTATGATCCCGGCTTCCTGAAATAGCTTCGGAGAACGCGCATAATAAACCCAGTCAAACCTGGAGCCGGCATCGCAGGTGATAACTCCCACGCGATGCTTGCGGGAGGGTGGCGACGAATTCCCGCTCGGACCCGCGGGGGTGGCTCGATTCGTATGGAATTTCGCCGGAAGTTCCCTGCACGGAAGTCCTGGGAAAATGGGCTCCGAGCCATGGGTTCAGATGCAGCTGCATTTTCGCGTACCACCGAGCGCGGTTTCTCCGGGCTCGCGCTTAATCGATTCCTATTTAACCGCGGTCCGGTCCGGCTGGAGGCTGGACGCGCTACACGGATCTCGGTCCGAAAAACGAGAGAAAAGCGCCCCGGTGCGTTGCCTCGCGTCGTTAAAAAGTCCCGATAAAAGCGAAAATAGAAGGAGGGAGGTTTAGAATTTTTCGTGAATTTCGGCGGCCTCCTCGCGACCGACGGCGATGGCGGGTTCCGGTGATAAATGGCGGCGAAGCTGCACCCGCGATCGGTCCCAGGGTGGTCCGAGTTGTAGGGGATGAAATGACCGTGGACCGGCGTTACAACCACCGCGAGGTGGAACTGTAAAATCCTAGACTCGGGCCGGTTTGCTCCTCCATGACAGGGGATGGAGCAATCCGGCCTTTATCGGCGCTTTTAACGTCCCCGTAAAGCCGCCTGCCGTTTACGAGTGCCATGCATGCTAATTGAAAATTACGGTCCGATTTAATTGACGACGCCCTGGAAGGACGCCGATGCCGACGGACTACGTAGCCGGTGCTTAGCGAGCGGGATCGGCGCTCTTGGGGGTGTTTAACACCCCCGACATGCCGTGAAAAGGACCCCTAAAAAACGGTCCCGACGAAAACGCCAGATTTTACCCGGGCATCCTTTTCTCGAAGCGACGCAGGGGTTATTCCGAGTCATTATTGCGGACGGCGACACGGGGTAAAATCCACCGAATGGGATATGCACTCCATATGAGGAAGAAACTCGGTGCATTGAATTCGCCCGATATGCGCCCGATGCTAGAATCCTCCTCGATACTCGAGGACGGCTAAATGGGAGGCGTATTTAGTAATTAACGATTTCCGATCGTCCCAGATTCCCGATCGAGCTTGCAGTCCACTCGTCCTCGAATCATGCAAACTTCACTTACAATGCACGCCCTGTAATTTATGGCCCGCTGATCTATGTCGACTTAAAACCCACTCGGATGTGCGCGATGCGAGCAACCGTGGCTTCCTGCGAGATCGCGAGATGGGCGTGGTCCATCGATCATCTCTCGTTTGCCTTTGCAACTCCGAATCTCTCCTCGGCGCGGTCGAGTCGGTGAATGCGGCCTCGAAAATTATTTTCCATTAATTAACGGGCCTGTTGTCGTTGGTTCCAGGTGTGCGGCAAGGTGTTCAACAACGCATCCGCCCTCACGAAGCACAAGCTGACGCACAGCGACGAGCGGAAGTACGTCTGCACGATATGCGGCAAAGCGTTCAAGCGGCAGGACCACTTGTGAGTAAACCGTTGCCTTTATCGTTGATAAACAGTCCTCCCTTTGCCCGGACCAGCTCCCGAATTTCCCGGGAAACGCGTTTCGCGACTGGCAGTCAGCTCGCTTCCGGAAATCCGCTTTTCCGAGCGCCGCCATTCGGGCCTCAAAGCGGCCACATTTAATCCAAATTTATCGATTGATCGCGCTGCCGCATATTTACGTCCCACGAAATTTGCGGCGGTCCAAAGAGAAGTACTTTGACGGGTACCAAGATGGCCGCCGGCGGAGTCCCTTCCACCTGGGAGGAAATTTTGAAAAATTCCAAACCGTTCCACCTCCGCTGAAATTTCGGCGTTTCAAATTTTTTCTACACTTTTCGGAGGATGGAGAATCCGGGGAAAATTCTAGTTTCCGTAATCGTTGGGTGGAAAAGCGTACTTTTCCCGTAATCGAGGGACGTAAGAGCGGACGACGAGGCGAAGGGTCGAGCGGGTCGCTTGATTTCAGGGTACAGGCTTTATTAAGGTCCTGAGAAAGCTTCGGATTTTCATCCCTCGTCGGCTCTCGTTCAATCGTCGTGGTCGTATTCTCGTACATCGGGTCCGACGGAAGACGGAAGAGAATAGCAGGTGGCGAACCGAGGAGCCATACTAGGGGGACTAAGGATTCAATTCTTTCCCAGAATGGGAAAAGGAATAAAAGGGAATCGATAGCCGCGCGGAGGGTTGGTTCTCCTGGCTGGCTTACTTGCCGGTTGGCTCTCCTGGTCGGCCTGGGCTGGTTAGATCTCGTTGTATTCCCTTCAAAGACGGATCTGTAAATCCCCTGTTCGCTGCCTCGGCCCGACTCCATCCGAGATGGACGGTCTTCCTCTTCCCCTCGACCTCGCCCTTCTGGTATACCATTCCCGGTATAGTATTTCGATTTGGTCCGATTTCAAAGACCGCCGTCTTAGGGGTCGCGGACAAAGGACTCGAAGGTGTTTTTTCTTTTACGATTCGGGTGCCCAGCAAAAGTGTCACTTGCGATCGAAGCTCCTTCCCTGCTCCTCGTGGCAACTCGATTCTCACGGTGAACCACGAATCCCGGAGGAGGTCGCCATTATTGGTAAAAATGGGACTGAAAATTAAATCCTCGGTCGTTGGGCACTTTCGGTGAATTATTTTAGAATTCGAGTCATTCTTTGTCGAGCCGAGTCATCGGCCAATGGGAAGCTGAATTTTTTTCCGCTTTGTCGTTCACCGACCCTGAAGGTTGCGGGACGCAACTCCTCGCCGCGATATTCTCCCTGATTATTCACCTGGGAATTTTGCCCCGGGTCCGGAGGTGGAAATTGGAAAAGAGAATTAGCGTCCCGCAGCGCCGAGGGAACTCCAACAAAGGTCCCCGAGTCAGGCCCTACTCGGAACTTCGGTCCAAGATCGAATCATTCGAGTTTCCTCTCGGTAGACCAGCTGGGACGCCGACTCTCGAAGGCTCCAACTTCAGGCCGGACCAGCTGAATCCGAAGCCGATTCAGGAGTTGGTAATTAGAGCGAGTTAAATCTCCTTGGCGATCCACCTTCGTGCTTCCATCAAGTTCGGGAGGTCCGCCGGAGGAGCTGCCTCCATTTTGCCGGCTCCACTCGGAAACATAATTCGCGAGGTAGCGGGGCACGTTAAAAGTTGAGCAAATTAGCTCTTACAAATTAAACCCATTCCCGACGCGACTTTACGCTCCGCCAACGGCGCGCCGGAATCCATTCCTATCGCGCGGCTTGGGAAACTCGAGACAGAATTTTCACCGCGGTCGGCTGGCTTTGAGAATTTTCCCCTCGACGAACAAAAAAAGAAGTCAAACCAAAAACCACAAAGAAAACAAGTAGCACATCTTGCTCGACGAGAAACTGCACCCTTTCCCGTGAAAACCGACGTCGCGAAAAATCCACGCGGTTTGAGGTTATCTTTGGTATCGACTTCTCCTCAACTCGCTTGGGAAATTGTTAATTGAAATTTACGTGGCATCCACTTCGCAGGCACTCTAATACGTGGTTGAATATTTTTCTTCGTCGTTTATTCGTCTCTCTTGCAGCTTTACCCGGTATTGTTAACCAGTGCCCCGGGTATTAACTGGGGAACCGCAACTTCGGCGCTCCTAGTCTCGGAAATGCCGTTTTATCGCCCCTCTTAACCTTTTAATCCGGCTACATCCGAGGCCTTTAACGACGCCGTTTCCAGAGCGACAATCGTCTTCGGATTAATGCATTTATGAGGAAGCTTCCCTTGGCCCCTTCCGGGGCCACGAAAGTGTTTCTTTACTGGCGAGGAGCGAGTCGCGCCGCCAACTTGTTGCTCCCCCGCAGGATCCTCCCTTCGGGAAAAGGAAGTCGGGATCGAGGATTCTCAAAAAGTGCCCCATCTCTTCCTTCCCCTCCTAGGGTCTCCCTTGCTTAAACGAGTCCCCGAATTTGCGCGTGGCAAATGCGACGATCTAAGAACGTCATGCTTGTTTAGGAACGGTCACATGTTGACGCATCGTAACAAAAAACCGTACGAGTGCAAGGCCGAGGGCTGCGGAAAGTCCTACTGCGACGCGAGAAGTTTGAGAAGACACACGGAGAATCACCACGCTGGGAGCAAGGTCAACGAGAGCAGTCCCAGCAGCCCGACCACTGGTCCACACACCCCCAACACGCCGACCAGCAACCCCAGCACGCCCAGCACACCGGGGACCACGGCGACCCAGAATGGCCACACTGCCCTCAAACAACTTCTGTCCACGGAGCCGACCCAGGTTCACCAGCACAAGGTAGGTCCATTTCGAATCAGCTCCAAGAGATGAGAGATTAAGGTGAAGAGAAATCGGATAAAAATCGGAATATGGCCGGATTTTAGAAAGAATTTATAACAAAAAATTCAGAAAGAATTTAGATGGAATTTCTGAAGATAGGACACGTGGTTCCAAAGAACCCCCTAAGGTCGGACCAGCCGTTCGATTTTGGCCCAACTTCATTTGTAACTTTTTATCCCCGTGCCATCTCCCGGAGCTCCCCGATAGAGGGGCGGCTGGATCCGGGAAAAGTTTTCCTAAGAATTGTCCCGATGGAAGATTTCATCTCTGGACTAGGGAACTTAGGAGTCAGGACGCGGGAGTGGTTCGGCCCGAGTTGGAGGGTCCCTTAAAGGAGGTCCTCCAGGAAAGTAATAACTCGGGTCGTTTTATGAAAACTTCCTTTCCTGCTGTAGGATTTTTCTGCCCTTTCCTTTCGCCAGGTTGAACGTAAGGATAAAAAATATCGGAGCGATGGTAGGTACTGGACCAGTTTTGGTGGCTAGTCAAGTACCCGTTTCCGCTCTCCAAGGTACGTTTCACTGGAGTTCTCTCGAGAACGGATAAAGCTTTCTTTCGTTTCGGGGGAAAGAAGTCGGCCATTATGGCCCCGCGTGATAAAATGGCGGCCCTCCAGCGGGGAACGAAACGAAGCGTTCAGCCGATAGAAATTAGTTCTCGGCCGTGGAGCAAGGAATTATTGCTGCTTTCGGAGTCGTCGGTTGCAGGAGAAGCAAAGTACTAGTGGTAACAGTGGTGGTAGGCGGCTCTTAGAGGTTAGGTTTCGCTGGAGAGAGAAAGGGGCAGAGGCAGGGGCCGGGCTGGGCTCTCGCAGAAGAGGGTAGTTAAACCGAGAGACTACGAATCTACGATATTGAGTTAGAAGTCGGGAGGGCTTCAAGTGGGGCTAATAAAATTTGATGACCAGGAACTTCGTAATGAGAACGAGACGCGGTAAGGGAGCCCAGAAAGAGGCAGAGAAGGAGAAAGAGATAGCGCTTCGGGAAAATGAAAGAACCGGTGACCGCCCATGAAAACTTCCCAGACTCTGACGTGATTTACGATTTATTGCACTCTCGGGAACCGTTCCCCGATTCTTTGGTCCGCTCCATTCGAATCCGCTCCGGAAAATCTGAAATCTTCCAAAATCGGGGGATGCGAAATATTCCAAAAACTCGGCGTATCCACGACCGACGATGGACCGGTCCAGGTGCATCGCGTAGAAAATCGTTCCAAGGGATTTTTCTCGAGATGGGCGCGGAAACGATTTCCTCGCTCGATTCCGCTCCGGAAAGGCGTACATATCGAATTTACGGAAAGGCTGAAAATCGTCGAAAAGGGAATAATGCATGCCGGAGGAGGAAGGGTGCGATTCAAAGGAGAGCTGTCGAAGAGGCTTGGAAATCGTCGCCAGGGATGACACGTCTCCTTAATATTCACTCGCTTCCGTTCTCTTCCTCGTGTCCTAACCTAGAAAGGGGTACGAAGACTGCGGATTAAAAAACTGACAACGTATAACTCGCGGAAACGTTAACGACTCGGACGATTAGGAGGTTAGGGATGGAACTCGGGAGACAAATTGCGTCGAAGTCGAGACTCTTAATGGCGACAAGCGTGACGTCACCAATCGCGTCGTCCATCTTGGAGCGAAACGAGGAGGAAGAAAGGGGCGGGAGTTTTAATTTAAAGCTTATAAAACTTTTCAAATTAACATCCGCCGGCGCGGTGCCTTCCGTCATCGGGCTTGGAGGGCCAAAAAGAAACGAACGTCTCCATCTTGCGAAGCCCGCAAAGGGCGTAATTGAGCCGAGCCGAGATGAAAGAATTTCAGCGCTATTAGCGCGGGGCGCGCGACGTCGCGTCTTTACGACGTTATCCCGTTGGAACGGGCCTTAAGGCGGATTATTAATAAGCGTTAAACGAATTTCCGTATTCCCGGGACGCGTACGAGACCCGCCGGAGAGAGGCGGCCGAGAGGTTAGGAATTTCCGACGGCGCATCAGGCTTCGCCATTCAGAGGCGGATCCCGGGGGATTTCTTAAACCGCTTCCACCCCTCTAACGCGACCGGAAGGGATGGAAGAGGACGGAGACATGCGCCTGCCCCATCGCCGTTGACATATCCTATGTACACCCGCGTCTGGAAAAATCGGGAGGAACATCGGGAGGACGTCTCCTCGGATGCGTCGGCGTTAACGTCATTTCAAGGGAGGAAAAAATTTCCAGCGGGGATAAATATTTATTCCGAGAATTGGTCGCGGTGGGAAATACCTTGGCCAGGAATCGAGTTTCGAAATTTCCCTTTGCTGGATCGGAAGTCTGCCGAAGAAGGCCGGATAAAGACGTCCCCTGAGCTCCCTTCTCGAGGAGTTTTCGAATTCTCGTTAAAAAATATTTACGTCTCGCACGACCATTAACCCGGGACTCCCCTCGCTTCTCGGGGTCTCGACTTTCTCGGCTCTTTCGGCGATCTCTCTTTTGCCTCGAAAGCACTCGGGTCCCTTCGACCGTCCACGGGAAAGCCGCCTTAACGAGACCGGGATTCCTCCGTTCTCTCCGACGTTATTAACCATTGGTTCCCTCGACTTCTTACGTATATACGTATATATATACATGTACATATATACCTCTTCCACTTCGCCGGGAGAGGCAGAATTCTACTTCCACTTTGGGAGGCGAACTCACGAAGAAACGACCCCCCGGATGCCTCCGCAACTTCTTCGACCGAACTTCCTCCGGAAGGAGGGGAGCCGTTGTTATTATTAATATCGATACTCGGTAATCAAGAAGAACGATAGAAAATGAAATTTCACTTTTCGGTTTAACGGCTCCCGGGATGGTTAAAGGGAAAATGAACCTTAAAGGTTTTAATCCGACTGGTGAAAATGTGGGAAAAAAAAGTACGGGATGAATCGAAATCAGGCTTTTATTCGGCGTAAACTAAATTTCAGAGCGAATTGGGATCGGGGCCAATTAGAGGGGCCAATAAAGAATAATTCAGGGCGCACAATTTGGACGATGGCACCCGGTGCATTTTCTGCCGGCACGAGCGTTGCGATAAATTCATAAATTCGGGCAGAACTCGATGCGCGTAATGGCAGGACAGATAAATCCCGACAGGTACCGCTCGTATTTTATCATTCTTTTCATGGAGAGAGCCCTTTCCATGACGCTCCTGAATTTCGCCTGACAATCGTCCCCACGATTCCGAAAATGCTCCGAAATCAGAACAAAAACGGATTTCTCCCATTTTTCGGCTCCCGAATTTTTGCACTCTGTAACCGGTCGGTGCAGAGTGCTCTTAAAACAGCCGCGACTAACGTAACGCAATTAATCATGCCGAAAGGTGTTTAACGATTGATCTAATTGCGCCGAATACGATGTACTCATTTTGGGAGGTGTATTCGTTTACATTAATGCTCGCGAATTCATGGTTTACTCCATTCAGATAATTATGTGTGAACTGGGGGTATTAATCAGGTGCGCCGTGTACTCGTCCTTTGTGCAATCAGGGTAAATTGCGCCGAGTCAAATTGCAGTTAATCCTTTATCGCGGTCAGAGGAGATGTCAAAACTGCCCCGTGATTAATTTATGCCGAACCTATGATAGCCTAAAATATTGAAATTTTCAAATTTTCTAGTGTCTTGGCAATGAAATTGCGCATTTACCTCCAGACTTCGGAGGGTGCAGTGAAGGATTTAAAAAGTGAATGAGTTGAAAATTATAGTCGCGACTTGTCGGGGGTGGCGGGGGGCGAGCCCTTTGAGCATTTCCGACCGGGTGTAAATTCGTTTCCCGGAGTTGTCGGGGAAATAGAAATTTTTCCTTCCTTGTGGGGTTGGGACCCGATGGGGGTTGAAAAATGCAGGGCCGCGTCCCGGTCGGGGTTCCGCGGCAGCGACTGCGCCCCCTCTCCTTTGCACCCCTTTTTCTCGTCCCTGGCCCCGTCTTTTCTCCGCCAGAAGAATAACAACTTCGGCGAAGTATCGCGCAGCCCTCGTTAGCGGCGTCCCGCTAACTTGGCCGCGGCGGAAACGTCGTTGCGGCCGCAACTCCACCGGCCAACTTCCCGGCCGAGTCCCGTGGGAATTCAAATTGGATTCCGGGAAGAAAAGGAGCCCGCGACCCGGAGCGAGGAGAAAGGAGCGCCCTCTGCGAGTTGCATCCCCTGGAGTCGTTAATCGCCGCCCGATATCTCCCCCTCCTGTCCGCCCCTTTCTGCAAATGTCAGATATCAGTCTCTGCCCGCCGATTCATCCCTCCACTCTCTGCAGCTGATCGCAGCTCGCGAACGCCGCAAATCAAAGTCACCCCCAGCCGAAGATGCGGGGGCAGATGCACCCTGATGCAGCCCCCGGAATCCCCGACCGCGATTCCCGGGCTTCGTTCTTAATCGATCATCTTCGATCTCACCCTTTCGATTTCGTTCGCTTGACTTCTTCGGGAAGTCCTCCGATAAGGAGCCCACCGATCCATCGGCTCTCCATCCCGGAATTACCAGGTTAATCGACCCGATAGTCCGGAAATCCACTTATCCATTTCATCAGAGGTAATCATCCCCCGAAATCGATACAAAGAAAAATGCGTACCCAGCAAGAGCCCAACTGCATTCCCGTATTCTTCGAATGCATTCCTGCATTTCTGCATCCCTGCATCTCTATATCTTTCCGTATCTGCAATCGGGCACACACAGTGAAGCTGTCATATCCACGAATATCCTCGCACGGTACATACGATGCATCCAGTGCATGCTAATGCATACCATGTATGGGAGGCAGGGGGAGGGCGAGCGCGTTCTCTCGTGATGTACAGCTAATTAGAGATCGAAATCTCAGTACGCGTCCGTATATTCGGGGATGGAGAACGGCGCCCCCCGTGAAGGACGTCGCCATCGCAAATCGGCCAACAAAGTCCGCTGCGAATTCGCGGATGCATCCCCCCACCCCCCTATGTACTCGCACGCATTCGAGAGGGGCGAG